GAACAAGGGAGTCCCCAGGAGGGACAACCTCTAAGGACTCCAGAAAGGATGGGTAATCTGAACTGTTGTTCGGCCCGTAAGCACAGACAACAGTCAGAACCCGTCCCCCAACCAGTAGGCGGAGGGAGGCTACCCTCTCATTCATCGGGGTAAACCCCAACATACAGGCGCCAAGATGGGGCACAACAAGTATGCCCACTCCTGCCCGGCGCCTCTCACCGCAGGCAACTCCAGAGTGGAAGTACATCCAGCCCCTCTCAAGGAGACTGGTTCCAGAACCAAAGCCATGCGTCGAGGTGAGGCCGACTATTTCTAGCKGAAACCTCTCAGCCTCGCACACTAGGTCCGGTTCCTTCCCCACCAGAGAGTGACGTTCCATGTCCCAAGAGCCAGCTTCTGCAGCCAAGGATCAGACCGCCAGGGTCCCCTCCTTCGGCCGCCACCCATTACACTCTGCACTTGACCCCTTTGGCCCCTCCTACAGGTGGTGAGCCCATTGGAAGGGAGACCCACGTCTCCTCTTCGGGCTGAGCCCGGCCGGGCTCCGTGGGTGAAAGCCCAGCCACCAGGCGCTCGCCATCATGCCCCACCTCCAGGCCTGGCTCCAGAGGGGGGCCCCCGGTGACCCGCGTCCGGGCGAGGGAATGCCAGATCCAAATTTCTTTGGATATTTTAACACTTTCTGAGTAATCTGACACCCAGTGTTGGTGTTAGTTCACAGTGTTGATTTCCTCAGTGTTGTCTCAACACTGGACAGTGTCAAATAAGCTACACTCACATTTAAGTCTTAACACTTGTGTTGTTAAATAACATCATGCAGTGTTGAAAGAAGTATTCCGAAAAGCCCCGCCCTCTTCAACCTCATGCCAGACAGACCAGTATTTTCAGAGCAAGGCATGCTGGGTAATCTTGTAGAAATGATGTTTGCATGTTTATGACTATTAAAGAAGTTCATGAGAATAAAAATTAGTTGTTCTGGTTAGTTTTCTTGTTCAGCTTGATTAAGTTGTTTAAGTTTAAGTTTGTGTTATTGGCCAAAAATCTACACCATGAGGTATGTCCTGGTGTGTGAATGGTGACTCCATTATACTTTCCGAGGGGCGTGGTGACAACAGGGAGGATTACCGAAAGGCAGGTCAGTTCCAGGCCGAATTGGCTGGTACGTTTGTTTTGTTTTCATTAACTTCATAAAATGCTGCTGCGTGTAGAGATGGGATAAATGGCTCTTTGAAGGGATCCGGATCCGGATCTTGGCTGTTTGTTTCATAGAGCCGTTCAAAAGAGGCGTTCGATTTTTAACATTTTACGTCATGACGCAGGGAAATACATCATCACGTAGGGAAATACATCATCACGTAGCCGTACGTAATGATGTCATCCCATCACGTGGGTGGAACCATGTGTTTGTCAAGTGGAAACCCCCCTCCCCCTTTCACCGTGAGCCTCTGTACTCCACAACTCAGCCTGTTTTCCGTGAAAAAAAGCAAAGCGGGAGCAATTTAAGTTTGAAAAAATAAAGATCATATGAGGAATAAAAGAAATAAAACTACCAAGGGTTCATTACTGCCCGCGATTCAGCTCCTATCGTTCGTTGTAAGGAGCCATTCAAAAGATTCGGATCGTTTGCGAACGTCACATCTCTAGCTGCGTGTCAGCGGCCACTGGACAGGGCGACCGCATCACCCACGCAGGCTCAGCCCGCGTAATAGTCAAACGTTTAATGCGAGCAGGAGCACCCCGGCCCAATTTGAAATAGAAGGTGAAAGGAGCACGGGTAAGATTAACAAACATGTCGAAAAGAAAGGAGAAATAGATGGATGGAGTAGTAAAGTTAAGGTTAGTGCAAAATGCAGCCAAATTAACAGCACTTTTCCATGATGGAGGGACCAAAGTCATAAAAGCAGTGATGACACAGGCCCGAGCAGCAGGAGTACAGGTTAGTAAACACGGTCTACATGTCCTATCATCCAGATGTGTTTCTCAATGTGTTCAGGGCTCACAAATTAAACTAAGCCTAGCAGAAATGTTTCACCATATGCATAAAACTTTATTCTGCTTTATCAACTAAAATTAAAATCAATCCATACTGACTCACCAAAAAGAGGCACATTTCATCAAAACATATTTCAGGAAATAGTCTATTTTCTTGTTATATTTCTACAATAATATAACTATTTTTGCTCAAGAAAATTACATTGCAGTGAGTCTGATCACTGTGTGTAACTTTCCTTATGTTGTAACATATTTGCATTGAATTATTTGTAAAAGTTCTATAATGTGTTATTTTTAGCAGCTGAAAAGACCAGTTAGTCATGGAGGTGATGCCAGTCATAGAAGTGAAGAAGACGGGACAGATGAGCAGGGTGAGGAGGAGGAAGATGAGAGGAAGCAGGAAAGTGGAGCAAAAACCAGGTACATGTGCAATGTGCAGGACTGTGTTTATGATGGGTCTTTGTATTAAACTATATTAACCTCTTGAGATCTGAGGATTGCAGTCTAAATTTAGTCTTTTTAACATCTGAAACGGGCTGAAAATTTCATAGTTTTCCTTCACTGTGTGTTTTTCTTTTTTCTGACTGATCTATAAATGTTTTATCCAGTTAGTATTCACACTCTATAACCTGACGATCTAAACTGATTTTAATACTTTTATGAATGTTCCCAAATGTGTACAAGGTATAAAAAGAAGTAAAATCTACATCTTTATTCACAAACCTAGAGGAGACTCACTGTGGATAAAAATACTTCAACAAATCTTTCAGGAGAAATAATAATATGTTTGTTGGTGTGAAAAAGACTATTTTGGACTAGAATGCTGGAGTCTTAAGAGG